AAATAAAAAAAAAAAAAAAAAAAAATAAAAAAAAAATTTTTTTTAATTATGGTCCTTTTTCCCTAAAAAAAAAAAAAAAAAAAGCATGGGTGGTATTCGAAAAGTGGTTCAGAATTATAGGAAAAAGTAGAAATGAAGCATTTTGTCAAATTTAAAATAAAAGTTACGATGCGCCCTGTGTGTTTATATATATTTAAATTTTCTAATCTTTCTTTTCTCTGCATTTCCCCAGTCTGCTCATTACCAACAGAGGTAAGTTCTTTTAAAATTCTTTTGTTTCTTTAACTTCTGCATTTGAGGTTATTGACTTTAGAGCTAGCCTGAGAGCTTTTTTTAATTTTTCATTTTCTATCATTTAATTGTAGAGTTTCAGCTTTTTGTAGAGAACTGAATGATTTTATGGTCTTACAAATTGTTTTCTTTAGACTTTGAATCATATGTGTACATCCCTTGCACTTGACTAGACAGTTTGGACTTTTCTATGGAACTCATGAATCATTAGCTAATAAAGCAAGGGTAGCCTTAAAGCCAGAATCTGATGTCTAAGCGGAGGAGAGCATAAATTAAATTATGTATAAGATTTTCTGTTAGTAAGTTTCTGAGTCAGGCTCTGTGGGCAAGTCACAGAAATAGTGAGACACCTGTGTGCCCAAAGCAAAAATAAGCATGCTTGTTTTTGTCTGTTTGCTCCTTTTTCTAATGGCCCTTCTGTTTGATGGAGAGAAAATAAAGTACCGCAGTGAGGAGGTGCCTAATCCTTTTTAAATTCTAATTTCTTATGGGGCATTTCCTGGTGGAACACCGAATTCCTGTGGATAAGATGTCAGGTGGGAGTAGTTAGTTTCATCCTTCTTAATATAGCAACTTTAGGAAATGACTTTTAATTAAAATGTACTGGTTGACTGAAAATGTTCTGTTGTGACTCAGTTTGTTCTCCTCCCCTCCCTGCCTCCCTCAGTACTGTGAATATATGCCTGATGTCGCTAAATGTCGACAGTGGTTAGAGAAGAATTTTCCAAATGAGTTTGCAAAACTTACTGTAGGTATGAGCATTTTTTTCTTTCATCAAAACTTCTGTACCTGAAACAAATGCACATAAGGCATTATTATAAAGATATGAACGAGCTCCTTTAGTAGGAGATTACAAAATTGTATTTATAGCTATTGGCTTTAAAACCACTTTACATTCTTGGGTTAAAATTTCTTATATAGAATCACACACTGTTTCATGTGTCTTATCTCTCACAGATAGTTTAGAACAACTTTCTTATAACAAGAGTAATAGTTTAGGGGCATATGTATTTTCACTCCTTCATTTAACAAATTATTTCTTGTGAGCATACTATATACTACACATTGTCTAGATGCTGAGGATAAAGCAGTAAACAAAAGCTCTACTCTTTGGAAATGATATTCTAGAAGGGTAAAACAAGACAAAATAAGTATGTTAAATAGTGATAAGTAGGGAATGGGGAGATAAGAATTGTTGGGAAGGGAATCTGAAATTTTAGGTGGGGGCAGAGAAGATTTTGCTGAAAAGACGGCATTTGAACAAAGACCTAAAGGAAGGGAGGGAGTGAGTCATTTGGATATCCGGGAGAACATTCCAGGTGCAGTGCAAGTGCAAAGTCCCTAAGGCAAGAGCTTACCTGTCATATTCAGGAAACATCAAGGAGCTTGTGTCTTGTCTGGAGCTTATGGAAGGAGGGGAAGGAGGGTCAGAGATGAAGTCAGAGAAGTAATGGAGGACCACACCTTCGACGCCAAGTCTTGGCTTTCATTCAGAATCAGATGAGCTATTGGAGAGATCTGAACGGAAGAGCAGTAAGGTCTAACTTTTGTTCAGCGTCATCTCTTAGGCTGCTGTGCTAAAGAATAGACTGAAGAGGGCACAGGCAGGTAAGAGGCCGTGGCAATGATCAGGTCGGGAGACCATGATGACCTGACCAGAATGGTAGTGGTGGAGGTGGTGAAAAGTGGTCAGATTCTCAATATGTTTTGGAGGTAGAGCTGACAGGGTTTTTTGATGTGTTACATGTGGGATGTGAGAAAAGGAGGCATCCAGGGTTTTGGCAACTAGAAAAATGGGAGTTGCTGTTGCCAGAGGAAAGGAAGCCTGCAGAGGAACAGATTTCTTCATTTTGTTCAAATGTTGGCTTCTGTTACAAGATTGCTGGAAATGAAGGCAGTGGCAGGAAGAAGGGAAAGCCTGGGCTGGGAATAGGCCTATCAGATGTACTGACGTTATTCCATTGTTTGCTGTTTTGATTTTCCGATTGTTTCCAAGACGCACAATCCCTAAGGCCCTTTTGGATAGTAGCTACATAGTCATTGTCCGTGGTTGGAGAAGAACCCTAAAGTTGGTTGTTACAGTCAGTCTGCATGGTCATGGTCAGCCCTGGACATGAGCTGTGTAGGTCATGATATGACTTGAGGAGGGAGTCGTCTTACTCAGGATCAGACTTCCTGTTACCTAGATAGTATGTTTAGATGCTAAACACTCCTGCAGGGTCTGAGTGTTTTATGCTGCTTTCATGTGGCTAAAAGGATCCTAATCCTCTCACGTCCAAGACTTTATTTTGTCTTCTATCACCATACACTTTACCATAATGACCAGAATTAGACTCGATAAGAAGTTAGCAGTATAATCATTTGCTTTATAAATGACATGCTCGGTTGTTGGCAAGATGCCTTAATTGTATAAGAAGTTGCTCAGAATTGATGTTTTAAGGTTATTTTAAAGTCATTGTTAATCCTTTTGGATTTAATTGTTAAATCTAGAAAATTCGCCCAAACAAGAATCTGGAATTAGTGAGGGTCAAGGCACAGCAGGGGAAGAAGAAGAGAAGAAAAAGCAGAAGAGAGGTAAGGCCTAAATCTGTGGCGTGATTTATATAAACATACCTTTCCTCTACTAGAGGAAATATGAAATGAAGACAGTCCCAAAGGCAGCAATACCTACCTGCTATTTTAGTTCCATATGTATACCCTACAGAATGAGACAGAATCATATTCTCAAGATTACTGGATGTCATATGATTTGGGCTTTATCAGTAAATTGGACCTACGAAAACATGCTTTATTTGCTGCGTACATATGTAAAAAGCAATCAACCACCTTGTTTATGACTTGAAAACTTTGTTACCTTTGTATTCTATTTAGTTGGAGTGAGGATGTTTATAAAAGATTTTATTCTCTCATGTCAGCTCAGTTGAATTAAAAAAAATTTTTTTTAATGTTTATTTATCTTGAGAAAGAGAGACAGTGTGTGAGTGGGGGAGGGGCAGAGAGGGAGACACAGAATCTGAAACAGGGTCCAGGCTCCTAACTGTCAGCACAGAGCCCTACACAGGGCTTGAACTCACAAACTGTGAGATCATGACCTGAGCCGAAGTCTGACGCTTAACTGACTGAACCACCTAGGCGCCCCTGAATTTTTTTTAAAACAACTGTTGCATATACTTATTTCTCCTCCTTGTAAAATGAATTCCTGTACTCTGGATCTTGTCCCTGCCTGTTTCTTCTTCCTTAATTATTCTCCCCTGTGACTAAAATTAGCTTATTAATAAGGACTTTGCATCTTTCAAGAAAAATTCCCTCAAAAGTCCATGTTGTTACCTTATTCCTTGCCCTGCCCTTCTTAGCCAGACTTCTTTAGTAAGACTGGACTCACATCCTTGCTCTTCTGTCCCTCATTGTTCATGCCTCATTCCATCCTAAGCTGACTGTCACGCTGCTGAAATTCCTCTAATAGGGGTCATCAGTGGCTCAGTAATTGCTAACCAAAAAGAGTGTTCGAGCACACACTTCTTGAAATGCTGTATGTACTGCCTTTGTTTTTGTGATAGACTTCTTTCTTCATTCTCCCTGTCACTCCTCTTTGGTCTTCTATACAGACTTCTTATCTGTCCCTAAAGAGCTGTATTTCCCAGGATCCTGTCCTCATACCTTCTCATTCTGCAGTTTTCTCCCTGAGTGATTCTTTCACATCCCTCACTGCTGACACCACTCCACACTTGAAATTCCTGTATCTCTAGTACGCTTGAAATTCCTGGCCTCTGTCTCTAGACTGGCAATGTGCATGGTCCCACAGGCATCTCAAAAGCAGTATGCCAAAAAACCTTACTAAGTCCCAAATCTATGTGTTTTGGTTAATGACAGCATACTTTATCCAGTCATCTGAGCCAGAAACCTGAGACTCCTCTTGGGTCCTCTTTACTCCTTTTAGTCATTTCTAAATTCTGTTGTGTTTCTTCTCCTTAGTCTCTTTATCCTGTGCCTAGTCACCATTGCTGTTATCACTACTTTGTTAGATTTTGATTAATTTTCATCTGAACTAATGTAGGAGCCTCTAGTGGCCTCCCTGTCAGCCTTACTCTTCAAACGCTCACGCTCCACACTGTAGATTGATCTCATAAAACCTAAATCTGGTAATTTGACTCCTCTATAGTTGTTCAGTGGCTTTTCTTCTGCTTCGATATAAAGTCTAGTAACAGCTTCTTGCACTAGTCCTTTAATGACCGGTAGGTTATCTTTTGCTTTTCTGGCTTTATCTGCAACACGTTCGTAAGCATCCTTCATCAGGACAATCGTAGTTCTCAAATATAATGCCTTCTCTTATCTTTGTACTTGCTCCTTTCTTCTGGGGTTCCTTTTTTACTGTGTCTCTCCAGCCCTTCTGCTTTCATCTGGACAGTTCTTATTCTATAAGAATTTAAATGCCATTTCTTCTCAGAAACCATTTCTGTCCTCTGGAAGCATAGTAAGCCATTCCTCTGCAAAGCTATGGTAGTGCAGTATTCATGGATCCTATTATAGTATATATCAGGTTGCAGTACTTATTAAGCTTTTTTTGTCTCCCTTCACTAGACTGAGAGTCCCTGGAGGGCAGGGACTGTGTTTTCTTCTGTTCATCTTTGTGTTCTCAGCCCTTAATACAGTGCTTGGCTGGCACATATTAATTAGTTAGTATTTATTGGATGAATACTCATGCATGTATTTATTAGTTTTGTATTAGAAGAAGAAACTTTAGAAATTAATATTTGGTATCTTGAAAATTAACAAACTTAGAGACAGTATTCTGTATGTTAAACACGAAACAATTAATGCTGAGCTCTTTTTTTAATAAATAAAGGTGGAAGGGGTCAAATAAAGCAAAAAAAGAAGACTGTACCACAAAAGGTTACGATAGCCAAAATTCCCAGAGCAAAGAAGAAATATGTAACAAGAGTATGTGGCCTTGCAACTTTTGGTGAGTTAAGTATGTTTAAGATGTGTGAACTATCTTCTCTCTTGCTCTCTGCCTCCTTCCCTCCCTCTCCCTGTCTTTATCTTGCTCTTTCTGTCTCTTTCTCTGTTACCATCCGACATCATGAAAATTTCACAGATCTATTTTTTGCTAAGAAGATACAAAATGAGATTTTGCATTTCTAACTATAGCTCCAAAATCAAATTTTGAAGAAATTTAAAAATCTTTTGCAGAGGGGACTAGTTTAACTTTTTCCTTCCCAGAATTCCTGCTTGGGCACATTTTATGTGGAGTGAGAAGGGCTAGGTAGGATATCTTTTGAAGCCTATCAGTATTGCGCCTCCGTCCCTGCAGGCTTGGATGGCAAAGAGTAGCAAAATGGCTCGTGCCCTCTGGGAATGACAGTAGAGGGTGAGGGAAGGTGGATATTGGCCCAGTGTCCTGCTTCAGAGCTTCTCGTGGAGGCCTTGAATGAACAGCAAAATTGTAAACCAGAGTCCCTTCTTGGGACAGCGCAGGTTAAAAAACAATCATGAGATAGTAGGTTTGTTTCCCTGCTGTAAATTTTTGTCTTGTAAAAAGGGATAAACAAAGGAACTTTGTTGTACTTGGAAATGTACGTATAATGCTTGGAATCAATGTGTTCCTGGATTTATTTGGGTCTTACTATATGAGTTACGAAAAATGCTGTTTTTATGTACTGAAGCTTTATTTGACCTTGAAAATAATGAGTTGAGTTGTTAGGACCACTGCCTATGGCAGTTTGTAATTCTGAAAGGAATACAAAACCCATCAAGGTGATCTGTTTTATGAATTTAAGATGAAGATTAAATTTGAAAATGGAAAAATGTCTTTGATACGATTCCAATTATAGTCTTGCTATTTCTTTTTTTATAAATAACAGAAATTGATCTAAAAGAAGCACAAAGATTTTTTGCTCAAAAATTCTCCTGTGGTGCCTCAGTGACAGGAGAGGATGAAATCATCATTCAGGGAGACTTTACAGATGACATAATTGATGTCATTCAGGAAAAATGGCCAGAGGTGAGTAGGTAGAATGTGTGCATCTGTGGAAATAAGTTTTTAAAGCAAGATTCTTCCGTGTTATTTGATACCACAATTCACGAGATGTAATTATTTGTGTTTTATAGGTGGATGATGATAGCATCGAAGATCTTGGAGAAGTAAAGAAGTGATTTTGAAAATTTGTCTCTATTTAATGATTTGAACTGAGAGTTGATATGGCCAAAGGGAGAGAGGCCTTTTAAAAATATATATATTTATCCTACAGTAAAACTGTAGACTACCCTCACCCTTGGCATTTTCACTGTTCTGTATAAGGCTGCTTGTTTTTTTTATTGCCAAAGTCTAATAAACAGGGGAGACTGTCATGCTTATGCATGAAATAGAATTTAGTCAAATAAAAATTTTTGGTCATTTGGTACTGACTTTTCTCTTTCTCTTTTTAACTTTTAGTTTTGGAAAAACTAGATTTTTTGTGCAAAGCTTTTCTGTTTCTTATCTTAAAATAATCATGATTTAATGAGTTAATTTTCTTAAAAATAGTCGTGATTTAATTAAATCATGATTTAAAGCCGCGTAATGTTTTAAAGAATTTGAATTTTGGCTTCATCACCATTAATGATTGTCTCCTTGCTTCTTTGGTGTGATAGTTTTGAGATGCTTGGGCATCAAATAGATTTGTGGTTGAATTTGCTTCATTGTTACCAACCAAGTCCACTCTGTGGTCACATTAACTTAATGTTGGTAGGAGTTGTTCAGTTCTGGAGATTATTTGGTAAAGTATACTAAAGCCTTAAAACCATCTGCAGTCTGATCCAGTAAGCCACTTAGTTGACATTATCCTAAAGATAGAATCATTCTTGCTTAGAACTGTGGGTGAGGGTGTTCATCGCAATGTTACTCATAGAAAAATTGCAACTGATATAAATGAACAATTGGGAAATGGTTAGAGAATGAAGGTGCACCATATGATAGAATTTTCATATATTTTTAAATATTTTCCAAGAATACTTCGGAAACATGTTTGGTGATGTTAAGTAGGGGGTCAGATCCCAAATCCATTTTATACATGATCACCATTGTTTGGAGTGAAAGACCATTCAGAGATGCTGCAAGTTCTTGTTCTAGCTATAAATTCTGAGAATAAAATTCTACCCAATTAAAAAGAATATACACCCATGCTCTCTCTCTCTATATAGGTAGTCTGGGAAATAACAATTGAAATGAGTCTTTCTCAAGAGAAACAGTGACAACGAATTTTAATGAATGCACTAAATGAATTTAAACTTTGTTTTTATAAAGGTCTTAAGTCAGGTGCTACAAATTGAAAAGAAGACTCCTGGTATTTTAAATTGCTATGGACACCTTTAAGAAATTTAGAACCCATTGTTTATTGTCCTGCAAATTACAACTTTGAATGAATGAGTGGGTTTTTTTAAATAATTAAAATCTCAGAAAAATGTGTAATAAAGATGCAAATTAAGAAAATGAAATTCTGCATTAACTGTGAATTTTACTAAATATGAGTATCTGATGAAGCAAATTTATCCATCAAGACCATTTGGTATGTGTTGTGTATGCTGTTGGTGCTGGAAGACGTCTATGTGCCTGTATCAACCATGTGACTTCATGTAAAGATTCTCAATGTTCACAGTTCTTGGCAAATGCAGTTTTAATCCATATAAAGCCAGCAGTGGATGTTACTGCAGGATAATGGAGGATTAAAATTGTCCTTGTGTATAACATGTGTGAATCTTTTCCTTCAACCAGAAATTTAAAATGCAGCATTAGTTTACTCTCTGGTTAAAATATACTGAATTCAAGGATTGACTTTGATTCATTCTCTTTATGTATTATGTAAATGTTTTCACTGTCTAGTATTTTTAGAAAAAAGAATACTAACCTTTAAACAGCCTTATGTTATAATTGTAAAAGACTTACCACAATTAAGCTGGCAGTGTAAATGCAAACCCAGCTTTGATATATAGTATTTTATTCATTAAAAAAAGCATAGATGCTGGCAATAAGTGATGTTTACATTGTTTTAGTTATCTCATAGAAGCCTCAGTAAATCAGCTGTTGCTTAAGATAAAATACATGGTAGCTTTCTCACTGATAGTTAAAAAGTTGATAAATTACTGTTTTAAAGATGAATTCTAGTTTTTAGATCCTGTTTCTTCTAAATTACTTAGGATATCTGGTAGGGAGACTGGAATGAGTCTGTTTAGTTCATCAGTTAGAATTAGACTGAGTATAAAATCAGATGCAGTATAATTCTTGGAGCTTTCATAAAACGTCATTTTTTGAAATTCTATCCTCAAAGGTCTTTTCTGTTTTAAAGAAAACCTATGGGAGTAAATATTGAGATTTTTGATGTGCAACTAGTCACCATACTCCTCTCACCACAATGAATTTATTTACTAATCTCAAGGTGAGCTTCATTTTTTTCTCCTTTATGTACATAACCTTTTTTTTTTTAAAGATTTTATTTCTTTAGAGCACGTGAATGGGGAAGAGGGAGAGAATCTTGAGCAGGCTCTATGCTCAGTGGAACCCAATGCGGGGCTCAATCCCACAACCCTGGGATCATGACCTGAGCCAAAATCAAGAGTTAGACACTTAACTAATTGAGCCAACCAGGTGTCCCTTAAGATTTTATTTTTAAGTAATCTCTGCACCCAATGTGGGGCCCAAACTCACAACCCCAAGATCAAGAGTTGCATGCTCTTGTCAACTTAGTCAGCCAGGTGCCCCTGTACACATACTTTTACAGTGACGGTTAGGCATGTGGTTGCCTGGTAGAAAAACACATTTTAATAATAGTAAAATTTGGGAACCATGAATTGAAATCCTCAACTGAAAGTTGACATTCAACCTCATTCCTTTTTATCTTTCCTCATTCCACCAAGATTTAACTGTACAGTCATCTATTGATAGTATGTTTTTAACTAGTCAGAATTTGTTTTCCTGACTTTATTTTTAGTGTTTTGTTTATATTTGAGAGACAGAGTGAACAGGGGAGGGACAGAGAGAGAGGGAGACACAATCTGAAGCAGGCTCCAGGCTCAGAGCTGTCAGCACAGAACCCAATGCAGGGCTTGAACCCACAAACAGATCATGACCTGAGCCAAAGTCAGTCACTCAACCGACTGAGCCATCCGGGTGCCCCTGGTTTTCCCGACTTTAAATCTTAGACCTTGTCTTGCTGGTTCTCTTAAATGATCCTATGTATCCTAGGGAGGCAGGTGCCACCTAAATCAGTAGAGCTTCAAAGCAAGAATTTTAAATTTTTCCCATTTTCAGGTTGTCTTTTATGACAAGAACATGCTTTGCTCATTCATAGTCAATCAAAAAGTAAAGTTGAAATAGCGTAATACTGTATTTGGTAATTTTGCCACTCATGCCATGTTATGGGTTAAACAATAGGGGATGAGCGGCCAGGGGTTTAATATAATCCAGTTCCTGTGTAAAAAGAGTAAAAGGGAGAAGGATGGCTGAGATAACACGTGAAAAAACTTAAAAGTCGCCCCAGGATGGCAGATTTTGTCATGACCGACTGCCAAAGTTCTCATTGTTACTCAAGAGCTTCATCAAGAGTCAAAAAAACGTGTTTTGCTTTATTGTGTTTTCCTCTCAATCTGTCATTCTTAGTTTCCAACAGTCTACTAGGCTGGCCAAGCAGCTGCTAACCACCAAGGCTGGCGTCCGCCTCCATCCAGGCATTGGCCCCAACGGGCAGGGACCCTCCGCAGTGCCCCGTGTACACAACAGCTTTCAAAAACGGGTGACGGGGGCACAAGCAGCCTTTAATTTGCTTCCCCGTTCGCTGGGTAATCGTAAAGAACCGGTTGTCTGCGAATCGTGGGGAATGGACCTGACGTTCGCGGATAAACCTCCCGGGTTCGCGGATAAGCCCCCGGGAGGCTCGAGAGCGGGAGCACAGCCGCCGAGGTCTCGCGAGAGCCGGGGTGGCCCTTAGGCGACGCCGTAGGCGGGGTCGGTGGGCGCGTTCCCCTGGGCGGGCGGTTTGGGTGCTCGCTTGGGCCGGCCGTGGGCGCGGGGCTCCGGGGTTCGGGGCTCGCCCCCGCTCCGGGCAGGAGTGCCTATGGCCTTTCTCAGGTGACGCTGCGCTCCCCGACTTTCTCCGGGGGCGGAGGAAACACCCATGAACCCTTCGGCGACCTTATTCGCCGGGCGTCAGGTGAGCGGCCGCCGCGGGCTCACCGTTTCCGCCGCTGCGTCCTGCTGCGAGTGGACAGCGAACCTCAGGGGACGGGGAGCACTCCGACCCAGCTTGGGTGGTTTTTAAGGAACGGTTTCTGCTTAAAATGTGAAACGACACACAGTACGAAGAGAAACGGAGTGTCGCATCTGTTTCCTTTCCTTCGTAAAAGCGATCTTGAGCCCAGGCGCGGAGCAGTAGGTGCTCACTTTTTAACGACAGCTGGGCGTTTGGAGAGCTGCCCTAGGCCACCTCGCTTCCTGTCCTTAATTTCCTTAGAAGTGTTGAAAGCGAGCTTTGCATTTATGAGTGTACGATGAAAAGTGAGCTTTGCATTCATAGGTACGATGAAATGAGCTTTTTTGCATGCTTGGCGTATTGCCTATTTTCCTACACCAGAATTTGTGCGCCTTGCCGGCGCGCTCAGCCACGTGACGTTCAGTAAATATTTGTTGAACGGATTAATGAATTAATGAATGGTTACCGACGACCCGAATTCGGATCTTGTGATTTGGAATCGCTTGATCCAAATTCCGTTTTCTGTGTTTAGTTACTAGTAAGTAACTAGAACTCGTTCGTCTTTATTTATTTATGAATCTTATTTTTCAGAAAGGAGTGGTGGTACACGTGGGCCTCTGGTGATTTTTTTTTTAATTTTTTTTTCAACGTTTATTTATTTTTGGGACAGAGAGAGACAGAGCATGAACGGGGGAGGGGCAGAGAGAGAGGGAGACACAGAATCGGAAACAGGCTCCAGGCTCCGAGCCATCAGCCCAGAGCCTGACGCGGGGCTCGAACTCACGGACCGCGAGATCGTGACCTGGCTGAAGTCGGACGCTTAACCGACTGCGCCACCCAGGCGCCCCCCTGGTGATCTTTTAAAGTAACACTTTTAGTTCATAGGTAGGGGGCAGTACCATATTTCAAAAATGTGGTTTACCATCTTAATAATAGCTAATGTTTGGAAAAGCTACACTTCCCTTTCACATGTTGAAGTTGGTATCTAAAATTTTTCCTTGGGAAAAAAATAAGAAAGCTAATGTTTGCTGAATGCCTACCCTGTGCCAAGTAATGTGGAGTGCTTTGCAGTTTATCTTCCTTAATACACACAACTCTAAGAAGTTTAACTGTTATTACCATTTTACAGGTTCCTCAGGAAACCAAGGCTTAGGGAGGTTAAGTAACTTGTGCAAGGTTATAGAGCCACTAAAACGGTTAATTCTGGTTTCACACTTAACATCAGACCAACTTCATGCATCAGCCTTAAAAATGACGTATGCTTAAAGGGTAGTGTAGATAATTTTGTTAGGTATGAAGTGGCATCATGGTTATATAAAAAAAAAGTTTCATTTTTAGAGATGCATACCAAAATACGTAAGAATGAAATATATACATATATTTTATCAACAACAGAAAGAGAAAGGAAAATTGAAACTTGATGATGGTAGGACGTAGGCACTGAGCATGAGAGAGTTTTTCGTACAGTTCCCTTGTTACCATATGCGTTTGAAATTTTTCCCTTACAAAATGTGTTTATAAACAGGCGTGTTGATTTTGGACCAATCACAACATTAAATTGTTCTTGGTAGATGGAGTATATGTGCTAGATGTTACGAGAATTATTTTCATTTAAACACTAATATTTCATGGTTTCCTTTACTTGATTGGCCCCAAATTGTTGGGCCAAAGTGTGGGATAATACTGTTAATTGATACAAGGAATAGGTTGACAGCAAAGACACAAAAATACCGAAATGAGTTTATTTGAGATTAGCTAATGCAGGTGGGACAAATGGTCCCACTTTTTAAGAGCAGTGTGTGTGGTGGTATGACAAAATTATAGAGTTCATGCACAGTAGCATGAACTTATTTAAATATATGTAACGTTGATGCCATATGATAACCAGTGCATAAAAAATAATTTAACTGCCTTAAATTGGCAGCAAAAGAAGATACAGTTATTTGGAAAATATGCTTTGGCTGATTTATTTATTGATTAGTTTTTTGTTTTTTTTTTTTATAAAACTACTTTCTGTGTTTAGAACATCGGGTCGGAAGTTGAGATTTCCACTATCGAGAAACAGCGGAAGGAGCTGCAGCTGCTCATTGGAGAATTAAAAGATCGAGATAAAGAGCTCAATGATATGGTTGCAGTACATCAGAGACAACTTCTTTCATGGGAAGAGGATCGGCAGAAAGTGTTGACTTTGGAAGAACGTTGCAGCAAATTAGAGGGTCAGAAATACATTAGCAGTATCTCTTCCACACTTCTGTATGCCAGCATATTAAAAGGACTCACGGGTTAGACACAACCGCTATTTAAATGTTAAATACATTTCAGGGGCGCCTGGGTGGTGCAGTCGGTTAAGCGTCCGACTTCAGCCAGGTCACGATCACGGTCCGTGAGTTCGAGCCCCGCGTCGGGCTCTGGGCTGATGGCTCGGAGCCTGGAGCCTGTTTCCGATTCTGTGTCTCCCTCTCTCTCTGCCCCTCCCCCGTTCATGCTCTGTCTCTCTCTGTCCCAAAAATAAATAAACGTTGAAAAAAAAATTAAAAAAAAAATGTTAAATACATTTCAAAAAAGGAGTGGAGGGGGGCGCCTGGGTGGCTCAGTTGGTTGGGCAACGGACTTCGGCTCAGGTCATGCTCTCACAGTTGGTGAGTTTGAGCCCCGCGTGGGGCTCTGTGCTGACAGCTCGGAGCCTGGAGCCTGCTTCGGATTCTGTGTCTCCCTCTCTCTGCCCCTCCCCTGCTCACGCTCTGTGTCTGTCTCTCAATGATAAATAAACATTAAAAAAAAATGAAAAAAAAAAAAAACCAACAAAAAAGGAGTGGAGGGTGGGTTCATGGGAAAGATAAGAGAAGGAATATCTCAACACAATACTTGCTGTCCTGGAGTTCAGTTTACTTGAAGATAGGAGGCCTTTATGAACACTCACAATCGAACAAACACAATGTGAATTAAAGTAGGACAGACAACTTAAATGTAGAAAGGATGATGGATAGAGCTCCAATTTTTTTTTTAAGGTTTATTTATTTTGAGAGAGAGAGCATGAGCAGGGAGGGGCACAGGGAGGGAGGGAGAGAGGGTGAGAGAATCCCAAGCAGGCCCTGTACTCTCAGTGCCTGATACGGGGCTCGAACTCACAAACGGTGAGATCATGACCTGAGCCGAAATCAGGAGTCAGATGCTTAACCAACTCAGCCACTCAGGTGCCCCTGGATAGAGCTCCAATTAAAAAAAAAAAAAATTTTTTTTAATGTTTATTTTTGAGGGAGAGAGAGAGACAGACAGAAGGTGAGCAGGGGAGGGGCAGAGAGAGAGGGAAACACAGAATCTGAAGCAGGTTAGAGTTCCAATTTTTAAAAAAAAATTTTAATGTTTGTTTATATTTGAGAGATACACAGAGAGCACGAGCAGGGGACAGGCAGAGAGACAGAGACAGAATCCAAAGCAGACTCCAGGGTTCTGAGCTGTGAGCTGTCAGCACAGAGCCTGATGTGGGGCTCCAACTCACAAGGAATGAGATCATGAACTGAGCCAAGGTCAGATGCTCAACTGACTGAGCCACCCAGGTACCCCAGAATTCCAATTTTTAGGCTGCAGTGTTGAGAGTGAATCTGAGGGAAATTAGTTTTGAGCTAGAATATGAATAAAGATTCTGTCAGACTAGCCATTTCTGTTGAACTGAAAGATTTTATAAACTTTTGGTATTGAACTTAATTTGAAGTACCTAAGACAATCATCTTTTTAAATTTATTTTTATTTTTTTAGACTTTATTTTATTTTTTTAATGTTTATTTTTAAGAGAGAGAGACAGAGCATGAGCGGAGGAGGGGCAGAGAGAGAGGGAGATGCAGAATCTGAAGCAGGCTCCAGGCCCCGGGCTGTCAGCACAGAGCCTGATGCGGGGCTGAACCCACGAACTCAGATCATGACCTGAGCCAAAGTCAGACGCTGAACTGAACGAGCCACCCAGGCGCCCCCAGTCATCTTTTTAAAAATATAGCAGTCTCAAAAATGGCTTGGAAAAAACGTTCTTTTGTACCATATTTTAATTCTGTCATCCTTTCGTGCTGCCCTAAAGTCTGAATGTTCTAGTGACACTACGTTAATGTTAGACGGTATTAGAAAGGAAAACACTAGATCTCCTTAATAGATAACCATATAGCACCTCCTTTTTTACTTCCCTTACACAAAGGATTCTGTAGACATGACCATCTAAATATGAGTAATTTTCCATTTCTTTGATGACCATTTGATTTTACTGACTATATCCGTCCACACATGTATACACATAAACAGTGTTTCATTAGATGTAATATATTTTAAACAAATATGTTAAAGAATGAAGATAACAAGTAGCCATCAGTATCTGATTTTAAAATAAGAAATGTTAATTGGCATTTCATGGAAAACTGGCCAGTAAATATGTAAAAAAGACAATCATTCTCATTACTAATTAGGGAAATGCAAATTAAAACTGTAGTGAGATAGACACCCTTTACATTTCTCAGACTGGTAGTAGTTATCAGGTGTTGGTAAAGGTGTGGAGCCAAGGGAAGACTCCTTCACTGCAGGTGGGAGCGTCGGTGCAGCTACTTTGGAAAATCATTTAACGGTATCTGGTAAAGTTGAAGATAAACATGGCTCATGGCCCCCGCATTTCCACTTCTAGGAATATACCCACAGTTCGGAGGACACATGAATTACCTAAAGATCTTGTTAAAATGTAGATTCTGATACAATAGGTCTGGCACCTAAGAGTCTGCATTTCTAACAAATTCCCAGGTGATGTCAGTGCTGGTGGCTCAGGGACCCCATTTGAGTACTAGGACGGCTCCAGAGAAATTCGTGCAAAAATGCACCAAGATACATGTATAAGAATATTCAGAACAACCTTGTTCATAGCTGCAAAGTGGAAGCAACCCAAGTGACCACCAATAGAATGGGTAAATAAATTTTGGCATAATCATATAATGGGATATTATGTAGCAACAGCAGTGCCCAAACACCAGTTAACCACAACAATGTGGATAGATCTTAGGATCATAATCTTAAGTGAAAAAAAATAAACAAGAACTCAGAGTATAATTCTAATTATATATGGTTCAAATCAAACCATATTTTTAGGGATGTGGTCATAGATGGTAAAACTATAATTAAAAAGCAAAGAAATGATTAAGTTAAGGATAATGTTTGGGAAAGTGGAAACTGGAGAGATTGTGCTTAGGAAGTGCTATCCAGGGGGCTTCTGGGTTGCTGACAGTGTTCTATTTCTTGAATGTGGTATCGTGTGTTTCATAATAAACTTTTTATTTTTAAAAAAATTTTTTAATGTTTATTTTTTAGGAGAGAGAGAGAGACAGTGCAAGCAGGGGAGGTGCAGAGAGAGAGGGAGACACGAAATCCAAAGCAGGCTCCAGGCTCTGAGCTGTTAGCACAGGGCCCGACATGGGGCTCAAACCCACAGACCATGATGTCACGACCTGAGCCGAAGTTGGACACTTAACCGACTGAGCCACCCAGGCGCCCCCATAATAAACTCTTTAAAAAGAGTTATCCTTTAAAAAATTCTTTAGCATGCTTACCTTTTATTTTTATTTAAAAATTTTTAAAGTTTATTTATTTTTGAGAGAGAGAGAGAGAGAGAGAGACAGAGTACGAACAGGGGAGGGGCAGAGAGAGAGAGGGAGACACAGAATCTGAAACAGGCTCCAGGCTCTGAGCTGTCAGCACAGAGCCCGACGGGCTTGAACCCACAAACCGTAAGATGATGACCTGGGCCGAAGTTGGACACAACTGACTGAGCCATCCAGGCACGCCTATTTTTTTTTTTTTTAAGTTTATTTATTTTGAGAGAGAGAGTGTGCAAGCAGGGGGCGGGGAGGCAGATAGAGAGAGAGAATCCCAAGTAGGCTCTGCACTGTCAGCACAGAGCCCAGTGTGGGGCTCAATCTCACCCACCAAAAGATTATGACCTGCGCCAAGACCAAGAGTCCGATGCTTAACCAACTGAGCCACTTACGCACCCCATAGCACACTTACCTTTTTAATTTTGTGTTTGAATATGATGCATTTTAAGCTTCAGTTCTGGTCACAAGTTAGTTATTGATGAAATTTCCCTCAGGTGAACTACACAAAAGAACTGAAATAATCCGGTCACTCACGAAGAAGGTAAAAACCCTTGAATCTAATCAAACTGAATACCAGGCGGCTCTTCAGAAGACTCAACTACAGCTTCAGGAAATGGCTCAAAAGGCAACCCATTCCTCTCTCCTTTCTGAAGACCTTGAGGTTGGTTTTATTTTGTGATGAGTTTCACTTGCCCAAATTCTGTTTGTGTTTCAGTTACTGAGAAATTGGATTTAAATGCTTCCATGAAAATGCATGCCTGTGTATGAAATCTGTCCTTCCCTCCACTGCCATGGTTTTGTGTCCACTGTGTGGCTTTGGTTGGCTGCACAGAGCTGTGCCGTCTTGGAGATGAACTTCATTACCACTTTTGCTCTCAGGCCACTGGGTCTAGGAGCATCTGTCATTTCATCAGTAACGGGTTATTTTAGAAGCCTTTCTCAGAGTCTGAGATGAGTAAGTTTGGGTTGGAAGTTTTGGTAGCTTCCAACTAGGCTTTCTCATGCCTTATATGATAATGATAAACAATGATAAACATGATAAACATGTTTTATCATGATAAACATGATAAAAATGATATGATAAACAATGATAAACATAAACAATATCTATGTCATGTTAGTGGCCCATTGGGAATAAAATCGGTAAGACTGATTTTCCAGTTTTGAGCTATGGTCATCAAGATATTTTTTGAACTCCTGTTTTATGAGAGGCATGGAGAGAGCACCATATTTTTGTTTCATAATAATCATGCCTTTTTTATTTTTTCAGATTATTCTGTAGTTTCTAGGTAGAAGATAAGTAAAAACTATTCTAGAATCCAGTGATATGTTGCATGAAAAAATGGAAATGTAGGGGTGCCTGACTGGCTCAGTTAGTGAAGCATGCAAATCTTGATCTCAGGGTCATGAGTTCAAGCCCCACATTGGGCATAGAGCTTACTTTAAAAAAAAAAAAAAAAAAAAGGAAATACATGAGAGAGGGAACGAGCAAGATCTCTGGTGTCTTTTCTTATAAGGATACTAATCCCATTGTGAGGGCCCCACTCTCGTGACCTCTTTTATACCTGATTATCTCTCAAAGGAGCATCTCCAGATAACATCATATTGGAGGTTAGGACTTCAACATGCATGTTTTGGGAGGGATGCAATGTAGTTTGTGGCATCAAGACTTTTTTTTTAATTAATAAGCTTTATTTTTTAGAGAAATTTCATGTTAAAATCAAAATCAAGTGGAAGGTACAAAAATTTCTCCCATGCCCCCTGTTTCCACCACCAAACACAGTCTCCCCAGCTGTGGACATTCTGCACCCACAGTAGTACCTTGGTTATACTCAGTGAATCTACACTGACACATCATTATCCCCCAAAGTCCACGGTTTACATTAGGGTTCACTCGTGGTGGTGTGTATGCTGTGGGTTTTGACAAATGTGTAATGACATGTACCCGCCACCGTAGTATTGTACAGAATAGTTTCACTGCCCTAAAAAGCCTGTGCTCCATTCCTGTCTCCGCTAACCCCTGGCAACTGCTGACCTTTTTTACTCTCTCCGTAGTTGTGTCTTTTCCAGAATGTCGTATAGTTGGAATATAATAAGTAGCTTTTTCAGATTGGCTTCTTTCACTTAGTAACATGCATTTAAGTTTCCTTCACGAAGATACTGTTTAAAAAGCCTCATTATTCTTTTTTTTCCCAACCAAATACATCATGTAGTTTGTATTTCCAAATATATCATGTAGTTCTGTGGTTCAGTTCTATGGTTAAGGGGGAAAAAAAAAACCCTGATAAGTGGGAATACCCCAATATGAAGGAAGTTCTTTCAACATAGAGTAAGAAATACAAATGCACAGAAGTTCACTAATGCTACTTGACTTCAGCGAAGGGAATCTCTTTACCAATCCGGTGTTCATTTGTTTATTTTCTTTTCTGCCAACCTAGAATTATACATGGAAGAGGTTGGGAAATAGACATTTATAAGCATAACCAGTATGATTCAGTAGGGCAAGCATAAGTATTGGGAGGACGCTAGAGGTAATGGACAGAGATATCTGTATTCCTTTTTGATTGACTTGGCCTACTTTGTTACTAAATAAAAGGTACAGAAAAAACAAAACGGAACACTGAGCACAGATTGCGGCTAATGATAGTAATGAAAGCTTTTAAATGATTCAATTAGTATTTTATGTGTTGTTTTCTTGTAGGCTAGAAATGAAAATCTCAGCAACACATTAGTGGAACTTTCTGCTCAGGTAGGACAATTACAAGCTCGAGAACAGGCTCTCACTACAATGATAAAGCTAAAGGTAATTCAAATAATAATACCTCCATCTGCCAGAGCACTTTGAACTTGATAAAGTGTCGTCACGTACATTATCTTACTTAAGTCCCATTGCAAATCGGATGGTAGAGCTACCTACCAATGTTGCTCTGTCTTTTAAAATTCTCATTTTAGGGGCATCTGGCTGGCTTAGTCAGTGGAGCATACAACTCTTGATCTCCAGGTTGTAGGTTCAAGCCTCAGGTTGTGTGTAGAGATTACTTCTACATAAAAAAAATTTAAAAAAATAAAATTCTCAGAAAAGAGGGAAACAAGTTTAAAATGGTGTCTCTAAGGAGGCACCTGGGTGGCTCAGTCGGTTGAGTGTCCGATTTTGGCTCAGGTCTGACGGTTTGTGAGTTCGAGCCCCACGTTGGCTCGCTGCAGTCAGCCTCAAGCACAGAGCCTGCTTCTGATCCTCTGTCCCCCTCTCTCTGCCCCTCCCCCGTTTGCACTCTCTCAAAAATAAATAAAAACAACAACAACAACAATGATGCCCCTAAGGCCTTGAGAGAGGAGGCAGGACTCCACTTTTGGTCTCTGTCTCCAAGGCTTGTTCCATGGTTTAGCATGTCTGGATTAACTTGTTTTCTTCTGAGGTATCCAATGTTATGTCTCATAAAGTCATTGCCAGTTAGATTGCTTGTTAAGTTTTTTTTAATGGAGAGAAAAACTATTAGCAATCAAGTAGTTGATAGAGCCACTAACATGCCATGATCAGTGATTGGCAGTCTCTTCTGCTGTCACATATGTTTGGCAGCTGGAGAATAAGAGAGTGATTTAGGTATAATGGGACGCTCCTGGTAATTCATGTGTGATTTCCCCCAGCAGTTTACTGTTTTAAAGTGGTCGTGGGCAAGCTTTCTTAACAGGGCCGCCTGGGTGGCTCAGTTGGTTAAGTGTCCGACTTCGGCTTAGGTGACAGTCTCAGAGTTCACGAGTTCAAGCCCCACATTGGGCTCTGTGCTGGCAGTGCTGAGCCTGCTTGGGATTCTCTCTGCCCCTCCCCTGATCATGCTCTGTCTCTCTCAAATTTTTTCTAAAATTTTCTAAATTTTTCTAAATTTTTAAAAAATGTTTATTCATTTTTGAGAGAGAGAGAAAGAAAGAGAGTGCAAGCAGGGGAGGGGCAGAGAGAGAGAGGGAGACACAGAATCTGAAGCAGGCGCCAGGCTCCAAGCTGTCAGCACAGAGCCTGACATGGGGCTCGAACTCACAATCATGACCTGAGCTGAAGTCGGACGCGTAACCAACTGAGCCGCCCAGGCGCCCCTGGAGTCTGCCATTTTAACAAGCTGAAAAGAAGGGAAGAGAGAGGCCCATGGGATTTATCTGTAGTGCAGAGAGTAAGGCCCGTTCCAGCGGCCAACAGCTCTCCTATCGCACGATCACACTGTGGTTATAAACTTTCTGAGACCACAGGCTGTGGGGTTCATGCATGGTTGCCGGGGCAGCTAACTAGGTGCAAATTGGAGCTCCATCTCTGACTACTTGCGTAACCTTGGACTTTTTACCGTTGACTCGTCTGTCACCAGCCGATAAAGGTAGTACCTACTTCAGAGAGCCCCTGTGGAGATTACGTGAGTTAGCAGCGAAGTGCCTAGAATGGAACCTGGCTCATAGCGAGATCTTATCCTGATTAGTTGGAACTTAAAAAATCTTACAGAACAGTCTTCACATTTGGTTTTTAGGACAAAGATATTATCGAGGCCGTCAATCACATTGCAGACTGCTCAGGAAAATTTAAATTGTTAGAGCATGCCTTGCGTGACGCTAAGATGGTGGAGACTTGTATTGTGAAGGAGAAACAAGATTACAAGCAGAAATTGAAGGCACTGAAAATTGAAGTCAGTAAACTAAAAGGTAAGGAAGAGATATCAACTCAAGCATTTTACCTCGGGCACATATTTCTTCATGTGGGTTCACTTCATCTTGTGATTGAGGGTAGGTCTGGCCTTAGGTCCTACCATGAAATGTTCATTGCACTTGTATACAATTATGCTACAGGGTTTTTTTTGGGTTTTTTTTTTTTTTTGGTTTTTTTTTTTAAACATTTCTTTATTATTAAGAGACAGAGAGAGACAGAGCATGAGCAGGGGAGGGGCAGAGAGAGGAGGAGACACAGAATCTGAAACAGGCTCCAGGCTCTGAGCTGTCAGCACAGAGCCCAACGCGGGGCTTGAACTCACAAACCGAGAGATCATGACCTGAGCCGAAGTCGGACGCTTAACCGACTGAGCCACCCAGGCGCCCCTATGCTACGGTTTTTGTGTTACAAAATAAATAACAGACTTGGGGGAAAGTGCATAATGCATTATATTTTCAAAATACTCTTGCCTTTGCTGGACCAGTTAGCTCTTGTTAATTTATGCTTTGTAACAACCAGTGACTATATCTCAGTGGCGTGCAACCGTAAGCATGTGATAAGTTCATGTATCAGCCTGATGGGAATTGGCTTATGTTGCTTGGGCACAGCCGAGCTGCTCCTCTGGGGGCTTTATGAGTCTCACTTCTCCCTGCTGGTAGGCTGGCCTGGGCACTTTTCCCCACCCAGGGACGACTGGCTGGCTCAGTCAGGAGAGCATGTGGCTCTTGATCTCAGGGTCATGAGTTCAAGCCCCATGTTGGGCATAGAGCTTACTTTATAAGTAAGGAAAGAGAGAAAGAAAGAAAGAAAGAGAGAGAGAGAGGGAGGGAGGGAGGGAGGAAGGAAGGAAGGAAGGAAGGAAGGAAGGAAGGAAGGAAGGAAGGAAGGAAGGAAGGAGCGAGCAGCAGAGACACATGAGGACCCGACATACCCTCACTCTGTTGGCCGAAGCATCATGTGGCTAAACCCAAGGTCCAGCAGTGGAGAAAGATCTGTCCCTCCCCGGGAGGAGCGCAGGGCGGGGCTGAGGAGTTGCCACAACACACCTGCGAGAGCGGCTTTTTGGCGCATGTTTTATTTTTTGAAAGTTCCTGTTGCGTTCTCATTTTCTATTTTTGTTCTCGGAGTAACTCATTCATTTCCTTCTGAGTAATATTACTTGAAGCTTTATAGCGAAATGGAGGCTAGGTGTACCAAATAGGTTAGTCCTATTTACGTGAGTGTGGATGTAGGTGATGGAGTAAAAGCTTACCTTTTCCTACAGAGAGCATGGAGGTAGGCCCACTTTTCTTTCCCTTTCTCTTTCTTCCTTTCTTTCTTTCTTTCTTTCTTTCTTTCTTTCTTTCTTTCTTTCTTTCTTTCCTTTTTAATGTTTCATTTATTTTTGAGAGAGTGCAAGTGGGGGAGGGGTGGAGAGGGGGACAGAGGATCTGAAGCAGGTTTTGTGCTGACAGGAGCCAGCCCCATATGGGGCTTGAACTCACCAACTGTGAGATCATGACCTGAGCTGAAGTCGGATGCTCAATCGACTGAGCCACCCAGGCGCCCCGGTAGGCCCACTTTTCTCTGGCCATTCCCCACCCTGGGGCAGAGTAAATGGTCATCGAGCTCCACATGAGCATAGGCTCTCACCGTGGAACAAGCAACCTTAGAATAACAAAGCTGTATTTTGGTGGAAGTTACTCTGACCTCTGTCCTTAGTGGAGTGCCTCGTTGTTAGAAGGTAGAGGAAAGTAAAGTATCTTCCAGACTGAGAAGGCACTTTGAGACTGAAAAATGAAGCAAGCCATTCCATACCATTCACATGGAGTTTTAGTCAGGGTCACTTAGTGACAGGGGGATCGGGTGGCCCATGATCCTGGTGCTACATAAGCTACTCTCCACGAAATCCAGACTTTAATCCATAGCTTTTATGGAGTGAGGGGCATTGTGATGAGGTCAAGGGTAGTTATCTAAAGTGGTGCCATCTGTGCACCAGCGGGAAGATCAGAATAAGCCTTTCTGAATTCCATCTAGGGCATGCAGTAACCTCCAAGCGGCCTGGAGCACACAGGCCCGAAGGAGGTCATTGTGCAGACATGAACCAGACGGAGTCAGTATTTTCAGTTCTCCTGCACCCCTGAGCCAGTGAGTCGCTGTTGAAATTGTGAAAGTTTACTGTGGTCGATTTAATTTAAAAGACTCAGCCTTCTAAAATCTTGTTCTTATGATGCCTTGACTTGTGCCAAATCGTAGGCTTTGTCTCCATTTGTAGCTTCAGCTAAAACCATAATCACACTGTAAGCCCCTTGACAGCAGGGACAGACTCTGTCATCTCTTTAAAGGATGACAGGGTAATGGACAGTGGACTAGAGAGTGAGGGCAACGAACTCAGTCCGGGTGGACTGGGAAGGCGGCTTTGAGGAGAACATTTGAGCAGAAGCTTGGATGGCGAGAAAAGTAGCCATGTGAGGATCTGGGCCCAGAGCCTTCCAGGCAGAAGGAACAGCAAATACAAAAGCCCTAGGCTGGGTTTTGAGGTTGGGACACGTTCAAGGAACAGAACAAAGAATGGGGAGAGTGACAGTCAGGGCCATGCAAGGCTTAGGGTAGTGAGTTTAGATTTCATCCTAAGTGTGGTAGAGCTTTTAGCGGAGAAGTGACATGAAGAGTTTTACTTTTAAAAGATTACCCTGCGGGTCCTGGTTGGCTCAGTCAGGAGAGCGTGTGATTCTTGATCTTGGGGTCGTGAGTTTGAGCCCCACACTGGGGGTAGAGTTTACTTAAAAAAAAAAAAGAATAAGATTTCTGATTGTTCTTTGGATTCTAGGCTGTAAAAGAGAAGCCAGTCAGGGATATGGAAGCCTGACAAGGGTCACTGCCAGGGATGCAGTGAGATTCAAATATGAGGCATATTTTGGTTGTAGCTCCAACAGGATTTCACATTGATTGGAAAGGGTGCCGAGGGCATGAGGTATTCAGTGTATATAGTCTTCTAGGAACTAGTATTTATTTGAGGACTTTTGTTTTCTTCTATTTGTGAAGAGGATCTAAATGAAAAGACAACAGAAAATAACGAACAACGAGAAGAGATCATTCGCCTCAAGCAAGAGAAAAGTTGCCTGCATGATGAATTGGTTTTTACTGGTAAAAATAGAAATTAATTTAAGCGATTGAATAGTTACATATTTGTAACCTAAACTTTCTATGGTACGACCACAACAGACTGAAGGAATTACACCTCTCTCAAAATAGTAGTTTTTTGGTTTTTGGTTTTTTTAACAGCCTTTAAGGGACAGGGAGGGACCAGTCAGGGAATATTAAAGTCGTTAAAAAAAAAAAAAAAAAAAAGGGCGGGTGCCTGCGTGACTCAGTTGAGCGTCAGAGTTGGTTTTGGCTCAAGTCATGATCTCACGGTTCATGAGTTCGAGTCTCAGGTCGGGCTCTGGGCTGGCAGTGTGGAGCCTGCTTGGGATTCTTTCTCTCTCCTTCTCTGCCCCTCCCCTGCTCTCTTTCGCTCTCTCTCTCTCTCTCCCAAAAATAAATAAATAAATTTTATTTTATTTTTTTGAAATGTTTATTTTTGAATGGGGGGAAGGGCACAGAGAGAGAGAGAATCTCAAACGAGCTCCTTGCTGCCAGCACAGAGCCCAGTATACAGGCTCAAACCCATGAACCATGAGATCATGACCTGAGCTGAAATCAAGAGTCAGACACCCAGCCGACTGAACCACCCAGACGCCCCCTAAATAAGGAAACTTAAAAAAAAAAAAAAAAGCAAATTTATCACTAGTTTAACTTAGGTCCCCTCAAGATAGATATAAATATTGCATTCCACCCACCCTCCACCACATTCTCCCACACTGCCCACTGTATATACCCCACTAGTTTCCACTAGTTCAGACCTCTGCCTCTCCACTTCCAGTCGAGAACCACTGATGTACAGATCTTCTCTCTGTCCTTGCCAGCCAAATTTTATTAGGCTTTCATTCTGGTAGTTTGTATGAGGAAAATCATAGAATTGGAGGTGAAGTTTCAAATAGAATTAATTAAATTGACATATTTGGGGTTTATTTATACACACCCTTAATGCCCTTCCTTCTAGGAGAATAAATTTCTTAAAGGGCAAAATGCATTATTAACATTTTTTCACATAAAATGAAATTCTTAATTTTAAGGTCATGTGATTAAAGATTGGGGAAAATGCAGTTTTCTACCAGTAGAGGTCACTGTTTTCATTATTTCTAGGATTGCTGTCTCAAAGTAATCTATTAAAAATGTATGTGTAAATGAGATATACATGTATCCTAAAGTCATATATGTATGTATATAGCTTTACAGTTGAATTCAAACAATCTTTGGGTCAGCTTTTGTGTGCCAGCACTCTGCTAGTTGCTATGAAGCTCATAGGCCCACAGAAAATCTAGTACTCTACAGATGTGAACACAATGCTGTGGGAGGTCAGAGGAAGATATTTACAGTATATTTTAACCGTCTCCCTTTGTTTTGATTTGGCAATTTTTACTCCTACATCCTATTGTGTATTACTAGGATGTATTACAGATTATGGAATTTGTTAGATAATACTATAATAAATCCATTTTGTGAATAATTTTATTATTTTTATGTTGATTTATTTTTAAATGTTTATTTTGTGCGGGGCGGGGAGGGAGGACATGAGTGGGGGAGGGGCAGAGAGAGGAGGAGAGAGAGAATCCCAAGCAGGCTCCATGCTGTCAGTGCAAAGCCTGATATGGGGCTTGATCTCATGAACTGTGAGATCATGATCTGAGCCCAAATCAAGAGTCAGACACTTAACCAACAGAGCCACCCAGGCACCCCTCCTAAGCTTATCTCTTAAATACCTTTTCTTTCTTTTCTTTTTTTTTTTTTTGTTTATTTATTTATTTTTGAGAGAGAGAGAGAGAATGAGAGAGAACACAAGCAGGGGAGGGGCAGAGAGAGAGGGAGACAGAGAATCCCAAGTGGGCTCCATGTCACTGGCGCAGAGCCTGATGCGGGGCTGGAACTCACGAACTGTGAGATCATGACCTGAGCCAAAATCAAGAGTCAGACACTCAACTGACTGAGCCACCCAGTTTCCCCTCTTAAACACCTTTTCTAGTCATACCACTGTCTCAAACAATTTTTGTGTGTTTAAATTATAAAAGTGAAGGAAGCCTAAAATAATTTTAAAAGGCTTAATATGGTAATATCCTGTCAGATGCTATAACTGAAAATGAACACATTTTATTTGAAGCTGGAAGATGTCTTAAGACATCTTAAGATGTCTGTTAAGTTCAAAACTTTTTTTTCTCTCATTGAAGATGAAGTGCTTCACATAGATGATGTGTTTCTTTGTTTTGTACATAACTGCTTATAAGAAGTTTGCAAATAAAGTGATGATACTAGTTCATATTTCTGGGGTCCTGATTGTCCTGTAAACGAAGCCCCGGGGCATTGAGTGATTGATTGCCTAAGGTCTCCTGGTCAGTAGAAGGCAGAGCCTTGACCGGATGTGGTGGGTGCAGACTACCAGGGCCCTTTCCCCTCTGGTGTCTTTCTTAGGCTGCTCGCTCAGGCAGCTACCAGCAGAGTCCGACATCTCTTTGTTTTCTGTGACCACAGAAAGAGTGGTCCCACCGCTTTGATCTCTCAGCTAAACCCAGCCATGTAGAAAAGTATCTGACCGAGCGAAACACCGATATTTACAGTAGAGTTGCCTCTTATGCACTAGTAGATTATTCTAAAGTCCGAGATTAAGGCAAAGTTCACATATATTTAAAATTACCCGTGAACTCCAAATATGGCTTTTGGTCAGGGGCCGTACTGTATCCAGAGTATCTCGAGTATCTCAAAATACTAGGAATTACACCCGGCGTGTCACAGTGCTGCTAATAATGAGAGGCAAGCGGAACTGAGCCCAGCAGAGAGAGTCACAGATCCACTGTGGGCATTACTTCCAGTTAAACTAGCTGCCATTCCTTTTTTAGTTTTTTCTTTGTGCTTATAATTGAATTCACATAAACTGAATGCAACTCTGCATAAGTAGTGCAGGCGCACTGCATTTATATGCTCTCATGATGGTGTTGACGCCTATAATGCAAAGAAATAAATTCAGAACGGAGTAGAAAAGACGTGATAGTTTCAAGCTGACAACGTGGCTTTCACTGAACTTCTCTTCACATTTTCCATCTTGTGCACGCGGATTACCTTTCAAAGGTGAGATGATGCTGCAGACCCATGTTGGAAGGGCTGAGCATGAGCCACGCTGGGGAGACTGGGCGGCTGTGCACAGACCTGTCTGGCTCCTTCCTGCAGCTGGTGCCCTGACCCCCAGAGCGGCTGTCCAGTGGAGTTACAGTCCGCAGCAAAGCACGGGCCTGTGTCCTCACGTGGTCTTTGCGATGTCCAGATGGAAAGTGACGATAAAAACTTTTGTCCTTTTTCATGTAAAATGAAAATGTAGAAAAATGACATGTAGAAGGTGTTTTATGAAAGAACCATAGATAGAAGTTACACATTTTTATTGAGATTGTCTCCGATTTACTTCGAATTCAATTCATGTAGTTACAGGGTCATTTTATACATTTAGTTTGAACTTCTTATAAAGTTACTGATTTTTTCTGAAGTGAAGCATTTATTGTTGATTTCTGATTTCTGTGTGAGTCACTTTATTTCTCCTTTAGTGTAATATTAACGTGTTTTTTTTTTTTCTGGTACTAGTCTTTGTATAGCACTTCAGATTCTTTTCTTCCTATGGGTTCTCAATTTACCAAGTTCTGAAACCGTTTTATCTATTTATTCATTCATTCATCCATCCATTCACTCATTCATTCTGTTGATAAAGGTAATATGTTGTTTGGGTTTTTGCAATGAAAATGAATTCATAAGTTAGTCATGTAATGTGAACAAATTTTTAAAAATTAAAGTAATACATATTTTATCATGCCCCTCCCCCAAAAAAGAGAGAAAAATAATTGTTATTAATCCTCCCATCCAAAAAAGCTTATTTTAATATTTAATGTACTTGTTCTCAGATTTTTTATCTTTGTGTCCGTGTATATAAACGCACAGTGTGATTTGATCATACAGTTGATACAATTCTGGATCTTTTCTTTGACTCAGCATTAATTACACTGTGAAAATTTTCAAGTTTGGTGAAAGATCTAGTCAGAATCACAGAAAAAGCTCTTCCCAGCCATGCATTTTGCAAATTTTAAGTTCAGGAACAGGAGGAAAATGTCACTGGAACATTAAATTTTTGGAAATGAAGAGGTTTGTGTTGATATGGCTGATGAAAAATATTTGAATAACATTTGTTGTTAAATAGCACAGAGAGAAAAAAGGAAAGATGAGTTACTTGATATTGCCAAGTCAAAGCAAGAACGTACAGACGCAGAACTACGTAATCTGAGACAGGTACGTCCCCGGTTCCCCTGCCCTTACTGTTAGGTGGGACACGTTTATAAACAAACATCGAATTAGGAAAAGCGTGTGTCTGCCGATTTTTGCTTATGGTGCTTTTAGTGTCCTAAGTACATTAAAGGTATGTCACCTTTAGCATAATCAGTAGGGTTTGGCTTTTGGTAACGAAAGGTTAGGAAACCAGTTATACTAACAAATCTCAGTGCTAACATAGGAAAAATTAAAGCAAACATATTTAGCATATGTCTCTAGTCACCATCTGATGTGTTGTAACATTTGAATGTTGACTCAATACAGTTTTATTGTCACAACTTACTTATCAATATTTATGGCAGATTTATGTAAAACAACAGAGTGATCTGCAGTTTCTTAATTTTAATGTGGAAAATTCTCAGGAATTATTACAGATATATGACTCAAAGATGGAGGAATCAAAGGTTCTGGAATCCAGGTAACCTTAGTAAGATGCTGTTAGTATGATCTTGTATATTATTTTATCGTTCAGTCTGCTTATTAAGTACTTACTGGAGGCCGGTATTGACCGTCATTCCCTAAGGGATAGGGAATAAATATATATGAGCTAGTAATTACCATTATAATCCTGTGTTGTAATGAGACCTGATCTGAGAATTTTAGGTACGATCCTGATTTAGCCACTTGATGAAAGAAATTCATTAGCATTATCTGTGTGTCTGTTGTGTACAGGGCTTTGAGCTCAAGTGGAAACCGCAGAGGTGAATCATGTCCTCTTTCAGGCGCACTTAGTGTGTAGTGTTTAGCACTCACGGGGCTGGGTGTGGGCAAAATAAAGACACCTAGGACATAGCACTTGCCTAAAAGAAATAACGCCAGCGAATGGTATACATAACTGGAGTAGGAGTTCAGCTAGCTGAGGGTGATCTCTGATTTTAGCTGGATTTTCCTGTTTTCCTTGTTAATAGAAGGAGACACCTTTTCATACCTCTAACAAGCAGTGTAGTGTATGAGTTAAATCGGTCTCTGTAAAGTTAAAATACAAATATATGAGGTGTGGTTTAATTTAACAGGCATACAGCTGCCCCCACAGTTACATTTAGTCTACTTTTCCAAGCACCGGTGTTACGTGGGAGTCATGACCGGGCACAGGAATGAGGGCAGGTCCCCACCGCTGGGGGGGAGTGAGGGGGGGTTGTAACTGCGCAGGTGTGGAGGCCGCCCTGTGCTCCCAGCAGCCCCTTTGCTGGTGGTTAGCAGTTGCAGCGGTGGACGTGGGGAGCGACTGTCCCTCCGGACAGTGTGACTGCTGTGCTTTACTTTTCTTTTGAGGCCTTCTGCTGGGGGGGCAGGGGGGTAGTTACATTTGGCTTTGTGTCCCAGCTGTTGCTGCTGCTGCTGCTGATACTTACCACACCAGCCCAGAGTTCTCTTGCAGGCAAGAGCCCCCATCACACTGGCTTTTTCGTTGTTTGGACCTCATTGCCCCTGGGAGGCACTTGGGCAAGATGCATGAAGTTACTCTCTAAGAGGGTGAAATGGCCTGTGCCATTCTAGAAACGTGGGGGTTGAGTTGTCTGAGGGGTCAGAACTCTACAGATCAGAATACCTGAATACATGTGACATGAAGACAGTTTAGTTAACGGTGTATCCTGTTGTATAGTGTTCTTTTTTTTTTTTAATTTTTTTTTTCAACGTTTATTTATTTTTGGGACAGAGAGAGACAGAGCATGAACGGGGGAGGGGCAGAGAGAGAGGGAGACACAGAATCGGAAACAGGCTCCAGGCTCCGAGCCATCAGCCCAGAGCCTGACGCGGGGCTCGAACTCACGGACCGCGAGATCGTGACCTGGCTGAAGTCGGACGCTTAACCGACTGCGCCACCCAGGCGCCCCAAGTGTTCTTGATCTTCATTTTATGCACACATGCCTTTCTTACTTTAGACCAGCTTTCAGTATATCGCTGTGTAAATATCCAGCAGATAAATGGGTCGGTCATGAATGCAGTATGGTAAACACATTTGGCACTTTCCACTGTATCTCTGTCCCTTGAATCTCTGTCCCCTTTCAGTCCTGGCTTTACTTCTGTTTACTGTGACACTAATAGGAAGGGGAATAACAGACCAATGAACAGGTATTTACGGAATACCTAATGTATGTTAAAGGCTGTCCTGAAGTGCCAGGAGGACTAAAAAGGCCTATACATTAAGAAATTTACAAGTCGGGGCTCCTGGGTGGCTTAGTCCGTTAAGCGTCCGACTCCGGCTGGGGTCATGATCTCACAGTTCGTGGATTTAAGCCCTACATCCGGCTCTGTGCTGACAGCTCAGAGCCTGGAGCCTGCTTTGGATTCTGTGTCTCCCTCTCTCTCTGCCCCTCCCCACCCCTGCTCTGCTCGTGCTCTGTCTCTCAAAAATACATAAACATTAAAAAAAAAAAAAAAAAGAAAAAAACTTATGAGTCTACTGAAAAGACAAGATATATACATGAAAGTTGGTGAACAATATAGTTATAATAGGAAGTTTGCTGCATGATTAGAGAATACATACAATAAAGCAGTAACCGCAGTATAGGCAGTAAGCACGGGGGAGTGGAAGGCAGGAAGGGAAAGTAAGCGTGTGGGCTTGCCGGTCAGAAAGACTTCCTTGAAGTCAGGTGGAAATCGGGCTCTGAAGAAAGAATACATATTCTACCTTACCTTTTCATTTCATACAAATGGGTCTTAATAGGATTTAGCTCAACTAATGGGGTTTGAGTGAAATATTTAGAATGATGGTATTAAGTGTATCTTATAACTTACGTTTTTTGTAATGCCACCATAGCAGAGACATGTGTTTGTCAGACCTTGAGAATACCCGCCCAAAAGTCGATATTAAGAGAGAGAAAAATCAGAAGTCACTGGTTAAAGACCCAAAATTTGAGACCACGTTGGTTCAGCAAAATAGGTCAGACAAGAGCCCTTGTGATGTATGCAAAGAGAAGAGACTACAGGTTAATACTTCATTTGGGGGGAAAAGTATAATTGCTGTCTCATCTCTATTTACAAAAGACTTGCTGGAGAAGCAAAAGTCTTGGTCTCTGGGAGGAAAAATGCCGATGGAAGCCGAAAACAAAAGTACATTTTGCAAGATCCATGCAAAGTCACCAAAAGGGAACGGGATAGAGATTCAGAATGAAGAGAAACAACTCTTGGAAACATCAATGTCCTTATCTGATGAGAAACAGTGGCATGATGTTAACGTGTACCTGGGCCTGGCCAGCTGTTCTGGGGCAAAACAACCGGAAAAGCTGAATGTTGAATGTCAAGATGACATGGAAAGGTCTGGAGTCTCCTGTTGCCATAAAAATGAAGCCTGTTTGGGGGAAAGTGACATATGGGAATCCAAGTGCTGCCACCCGAGTAACTTCATAATCGAGGCACCAGGCCACATGTCTGACGTGGAATGGATGAGTATTTTCAAGCCTTCCAAAGTGCAAAGAATCGTTCGCCACAAATCCGTGTGTACTTGTGCAGAAAGTGCCAGCGGACGGAAATACAACTCCTCCACGAGGTTAGTGATGTTGGCATTGTTAACCCCCGGGGACCCCACATGCTGTGCTTGGAAATGGAAAGGGCATTAGCCACTCGACGCTCACTGGGAAGCAGAGAGCGGTGTTTGCGAACAGAAATCACGTCTGGGGCCAAACGGTTACTCTCTTCATCACCACATAGTCAGTCGAGTTTCTGATTGTGCAAAGAGACCCTATTAGATTCCAGTGAAAAGTTTGTACCTAGGACTGCTTCTGAGGCAAAGGTTCTGTTTGAAAACAAAGCCAGTTGTCATGAGTTGGGCAAATTTTTTTTTTTTTTTTTTAAAGCTAACAGTAGGTCACTTTACAGAGCAGAATGCCGCTCTGGAGCATTCCTCACCCCTGGATCCCGTGTGAATCGATAAGCTGTTTTTCTGCAGAGATTACATTCCCTAGACCACAGATAAGAATTTCGCCTCCACCTGCCCCCCCAACCCCCCAGTGACATATTTCCGTATCCAACTGCTTCTGCCCTTGTGTTCATTTTACATTTCCCAAACCTTCTCACTTTTTGAAATCATGCAAGAAAAATAATATTTGTACATAACAAGCTGAGAAAGGTTAATGTTTTTTTTAAGAGAAGAAAATGGATTAGTCATTAGCATATGCTGCATTATTCAGGCTCATCTTATCATTAGACTTGCTGAATCTTGGGGTGCCTGGGTGGCTCAGTTGGTTAAGCATCCAACTTCGGCTCAGGTCATGATCTTGCGGTTCCTGGGTACAAGCCCTGCATCAGGCTCTGTGCTGGCAGCTAAGAGCCTGCTTTGGATTCTCTGTGCCACCCTCTATCTCTCTCTGTGCCCCTCCCCACCTTGTGCTCTCTCCCTCAAAAACAGAGAAACATAAAAAAAAACTTGCAGAATCTTGTGGTTGAGGGGCGCTATAATAATGTCTGAAATTTAAAAAAACTTTTTTGGGGGGAGGGGTAGGAGGGAGAGAGGGGGGAGAGAGAGAGAGAGAGAGAGAGAGAGAGAGGAGAGAGAGAGAATCCCAAGTAGACTCCATGCTCAGTATGGAGCCTGATGCAGGACTTGATCCCATGACCCTGAGATACGACCTGTGCTGAAGTTGAGAGGTGGACCCTCCATCGACTGAGCCACTCAGGTGCCCCAATGTGTGCAATTAAAAAAAATTTTCAGTGTTTATTTATTTTTGGGAGAGAGAGAGACAGAGCATGAGCAGGTGAAGGGCAGAGAGAGAGGGAGACACACAATCTGAAGCAGGCTCCAGGCTCCGAACTGTCAGCACAGAGCCCAAAGTGGGGCTTGAACCCATGAACCATGAGATCATGACCTGAGCTGAAGTCAGACACTCAACCAACTGAGCCACCCAGGCACCCCTGCAATTTTTAAATAAAACCTAGCTCTTTGTTCTTAAATTACAGAAAGAATGAAGTTTCTATATTGAGAGCCTTATTTCAGTCGTCACGCTGACTTTCATAGGACTTTATGATTAAAATTTCTTTCTGGTAATTTCATTATTTGGATTTTTCTTTGGCCCTTTTAGAAGCCTAAGTCATTTAAAAATCACACATGAGGTTCTGGGTGGCTCAGTTGGTTAAGCATATGGCTCTTGACTTCAGCTCAGGTCGTGATCTTATGGTTCATGGGTTCAAGCCCCATGTCGGGCTCTGCCCTGGCAGTGTGGAGCCTGCTTGGGATTCTCTCTCTCCCTCCCTCTCTCTAGCCCTCTGTCTGTCCCTCTCCCTCTTGCATGCTCTGTCTCTCTCTCTCTCTCTCAAAATAAATAAACTTAAAAAAAATCATACAGATAGTTATTGCCTGTTGTGAAATTTTAAAGTAAAACGGTGGTGCCACTCAAAGTTATCTATTTGTATTTGTTTTTTACAGATTTTCTTTAAATAATTGCAAGTTATCAGTAGAGCACAACTGCGCATTTTCACTGCTGAGCGAAGAATACACATAGATTACGGGGAAAGTTTATGGTAGTTTTTTTTTAACGTTCGTTGAGTGTATGGTTTAACAACATTATTTAAAAAAACTTTTTTTAAGTTTATTTATTTATTTTGGGTGGAGGGAGAGAGAGCATGTGCGTGCACACAAAAGGGGAGGGGCAGAGAGAGGGAGAGCCAGAATCCCAAGCAGGCTCCGCACTGTCAGCATAGAGCCGAGTGCAAGGCTCGAACCCACAAACTGTGGGATCATGACCTGAGCCAAATCAAGAGTCAGACACTTACCCAATCAAGCCACCCAGGTGCTCCTTCTTTTTTTTTTTTTTTTTTTTTTTTTTTTTTTTTTTTTTTTTTTTTGAGAGAGAGAGCGTGAGCAGGGGAGAGTGGCAGAGGGAGAGAGAATCCTATTTAGGCTCTGTGCTCAGCCCCTATGTTAGGTTTAAGAGCGCAGTGGACATATATAAAATTTAACATAGGAAAGAAATTCAAATTTACATTCGGAGTTTTCTTTCAAGACCCTTTTGACCTCCCTGGTTTGAAATACTTGACAGGACTCGTGCTGCCAGCAGAGGGGCGGTGCCCACACGTCACCTGACAAATGCGTGGCTAAACACAGAAGATAATTATGTTCTCCCTTAGAGTATAAGCACTTACTGTGTACCTACTTTATTATCGGGCTGAATGCTCCCGTTTGTTCCACCATCCCATGCCAGCCAGACCACGGGGGGGTTACCTGTGGAGGGAGAAGCCACGGGCAGCCTGCTCCCCTTCAGTTACAGGGCACGTGGGAGGAAGGGGTGCCAGCTTTTGCCATTCATTCTGCTTTGAGCCCAAATATCCTACCCCGAAGCTTGGCTACACAGCTCTGTTCTCCGATACCGACGGCCTGCAGAAGAATGAAGAGCCACACGGTGCTGTCCGACTCTCACAAAAGGGTTGGACTTTTAAAAACCATTAACAAAAATCAACTTCACAAACCAAAAACCCAAAATTTTCACAAGTTTAACCTGTGTTAATTTTTCCCCTCCCTTTTGGATGATTTTCCTTCATTTTCTTTTCTTTTCTTTTCTTTTCTTTTCTTTTCTTTTTTCTTTTCTCTTCTTTTCTTTTTTCTTTTCTTTTTTCTCGTTTCTTTTTTCTCTTTCTTTTCTTTTCTTTTCTTTTCTTTTCTTTTCTTTTCTTTTCTTTTCTCCCTTCCCTTCCCTTCCCTTCCTTTCCCTTCCCTTCCCTTCCCTTCTTTCTTTTTGGAAGGGGGATGGAAATTCCCTATTCTGTTGTTACCCTCTAAGAATTCTGTTTTAATTCTGACTGCAAAGGGTATGCATTAATTGATAATATTCTACTCAGTTATTCTCTTCAAATCTCTAATGTTCTACTCAAACTTGAGCTTCTTCATTAAAAAGAAAAACAACTTTTTTCCTGTTGAGATGGTTTGAAGTGTAAGAGTATTGGTGACGCATGTTTGCCAGCACTTTAAGATGTCTGTCCCGTTTGGTTTTATCGTTTGTAGTGAGCTGTTTGCCATCCAGCATTCCCACTGTTTGGGTGCTTCAAAATCTGCGGCACGAGAGGATGAGAGATTGATAGAGACAGGGCCCTCTCCTGATACAAAGAACTCACCTAAGATTTTGTTATTCAACAAAGAGGCACCATTGTCCAATGAGAAGGTTTGTATTTTGCTTAGAGATACCCAGCTCATTCAAGCGAGACTCCTCCCCAGCATGCTTTTAATTCTCCTGTAGTACTGTGGTTCGTGTGCTTAGTTTTGGTCATTCTTCAGGGTTTGTTTTTTTTTTTTCCCTAAACTATGGGACTTTAATTATATCATTTAACTGAAGTCACAGTTACTCACCTTCTATTTCCTTTAAATATTATTCTATAGGGGTGCCTCAGTGGCTCAGTTGGTTAAGTGTATGACTCTTGGTTTTGGCTCAGGTCATGATCTCACCGTTCATGAGTTCAAGCCCCACAACAGACTCATGCTGACAGTGTGGAGCCTGCTTGGGATTTTCTCTGTCTCTCTGTCTCGTCTCTCTCTGCTCCTCCCACGCTCACACATGTGCTCTCTCTCTCTCTCTCAAAATAAATTTTAAAAAACATAAAAAATAAATGTTATTCTATAGAGTTAACTCCAGGCCAGATGTCCCTCAGGCCCTCCTGGTGACTGATAGATACATACATATTACATATATATGTGCATACACATATTTTAAATATAACAAAAAAGACTGTAACAAGCAATTGTGCACCTACATTCAGATTTAACATGTTTACCTTTGTCACATTTGTTTTATTTTTCTTGTTCAAGAAATGAAATACTACAGATAAAGTGTGGGTCCCATGTGCCTTCTCCCCTCGCCCACTCCCCCCCACCAGTTATCACTATCCTGAAGTTGCAGTCATGCTTTTTCTTATGCTTTTACTACTTAAAAACATAATGTCGTGTGTGCATTTAAAATGTGCGTAAGTGGTAAAAGATTGTCTCTATCCTTTTGCGATGATTTTTCCAACTGTGTGAATATTTTCTGACATTTATCCATGCTGATACTTGAAGACTTAGTCCCTTCATTTTGACTGCTGATCAATATGTAGTCTATTGATTGAATAAATCAGTTTGTTCATGCCCCTCCTGATGGTCAGTGAGGTTGTTACTGCACTGTCACTGTCACACATGAGCCGGTGCCTTCACCGTAAATGGGATCCACATTACAGCTCTGTCAGAGTGAAAATAAAGTTGAAGTGAACTTAATTTTTTTTTTCAACTTTTTATTTTTTTTATTTTTTTTTTATTTTTGGGACAGAGAGAGACAGAGCATGAACGGGGGAGGGGCAGAGAGAGAGGGAGACACAGAATCGGAAACAGGCTCCAGGCTCTGAGCCATCAGCCCAGAGCCCGACGCGGGGCTCGAACTCACGGACCGCGAGATCGTGACCTGGCTGAAGTCGGACGCTTATCCGACTGCGCCACCCAGGCGCCCCATGAAGTGAACTTAATTACTTCTGGCTTTACTTGGGGAAGATAACAGGCTATGAAACTGATCTGGGTTCACATCCTTGTTTTGCTTTGTCTTAGCTCAATGACCTCAGTAAAGTTATTTACTTTCTTTGAGCCTCAGTTTCTTCATTTGCAAATATGCAATAATAACATTACACTTGCTTGGTCTAAATGAGATATTTTAGGGCCTGGCCCCTAATGGGTATTTGATGGGTGTTCTCTTTGTTAAAACTTGACCATACTAAGTGTTGACTAGAATCTGGAGCAACTGGGACTTTCATTCACTGGTGGTGGGAAAAGAAAATTCACTTTGAAGAGCACTTGGGTAGTTTCTTAAAAAATTAAATATACATGTACCATATGACCCAGCTATTCCACTAGAGCAATGGAAACACGTCCATACAAAGACTTGCACGTGAATACTCAAGCAGCTTTATTTGTATTAACTGAAAAACTGGAAACAACCCAAATATACATCAGTAGGTGAATAGACAAAATGATGCCCGCATGCAGTGAGGTACTTCTCAGGAGTACAAAGGCATAAACTACTTACGATACACAGCACAGGTGAATCTCAAGATGATTATGCTGAATGAAAGATGCCACATAGACAAAAATATGAATGTGTTTATATAAAATTCCAGAAAAGGCAAACTAGTCTCTGGTGACAGAAGACAGATCAGTGTTGGCTGGGAATGGGTGGACCGACTCCAGCAGGAATTCCCAGGGGGCATAGGTTTGCTTCCCTGTCCGTTGTGGGTGTGGTGTCAGGGCTGTGTACATAGGTAAAACTCAGCATATTATGTAGCTTAATTGTATAGTTTTTAAAATTTTTTTTTTTCAACGTTTATTTATTTTTGGGACAGAGAGAGACAGAGCATGAACGGGGGAGGGGCAGAGAGAGAGGGAGACACAGAATCGGAAACAGGCTCCAGGCTCTGAGCCATCAGCCCAGAGCCCGATGCGGGGCTCGAACTCACGGACCGCGAGATCGTGACCTGGCTGAAGTCGGACGCTTAACCGACTGCGCCACCCAGGCGCCCCAATATAGTTTTTTAAAACATTTATTTTTGAGACAGAGACAGAACGCGAGTGGGGGAGGGGCAGGGAGAAAGGGAGACCAAATCCGAAGCAGGCTTCAGGCTCTGAGCTGTCAGCACAGAGCCCAATGCAGGGCTTGAACTCACAAGCCACAAGATTATGACCTGTGCTGAAGTCGGACACCCAACCGACTGAACCACCTAGATACCCCAACTTAATTGTGTAGTTAATTATATGTTGATTATACCTCAAAGTTGTTAATTTTTAAACATTTGTTTAAATGTTTATTTTTGAGATAGAAACAGCACAAGTAGGGGAGAGGCAGAGAGAGACAGAGACACAGAATCCGAAGCAGGCTCCAGGCTCTGAGCTGTCAGCACAGAGCCCAACGCAGGGCTTCAACTCATGAGATCATGACCTGAGCTGAAGTCAGACACTTAACCGACTGAGGCCCCCAGGTGCCCCTCAGAGATGTTAATTTTTTTAAAGCTGTTAGTATGAGAGGAAATGTTAGTTACTACCTTTTCAGTTCTTGTGAGACCTTTTTTCAGGGTTGGTACCTATTTTTTGAGGCAGTATATATATTACATGCTTATGTTGTCCATATATATGTATATATTTGTGTGTGTGTGTGTATGTGTGTGCACGCGCACGTGCTCACACACACAGATATATTCACTCAGCAGGTATTTATTAAATGTCTTCTAAATCCAGGTCAGTAGTGATCATCTTTGTTCCTGGAACATTAGACTTCACTTTTCTTAGCAAAAAATAATCTAGGTACTTTCAAGAGTGGTTGTCATGCTAAAACTTTAGATCCCAAAGTTGAAAATTAAACAAGAACAAATTAAGGCACATATCCACATATTTTTATATTATTTGTTTAAAAATTTTTAATGTTTATTTATTTTTGAGAGAGAGAGAGAGAGACTGAGCACCAGCAGGGGAGGGGCAGACAGAGAGGGAGACACAGAATCTGAAGCAGCCTCCAGGCTCTGAGCTGTAAGCACAGATCCCGACTCGGGGCTCAAACTCACAAACAGTGAGATCATGACCTGAGCTCGTAAGCTTAACTGACTGAGCCACCCAGGTGCCCCTTAAAAGCTTACAAGCGTTTAATGTTAAAATTACATTTTGCAAGTATTTTGAAATACTAATTAGCATGATAATTATGACTTTGGAAAGTTAATCTAGGAGAGTTAATGCCTAGGATTTTTGTTTTTTTAAAGATTTTATCTTTAAGTAATCTCTACACCCAGTGTGGGGCTCGAACTTACAACCCCAAGATCAAGAGTTGCACGCTCTACCTACTGAGACAGCCAGGGGCCCCAGCCTAGGATTCTTTTTATCGCATGGATGTTACTTAATTAGTTGTAAGGTCTGTTGAAGTCAAATTATTTAGCAAAGTAGGTTCTTTTTTTTTTTTTTCAACGTTTATTTATTTTTTGGGACAGAGAGAGACAGAGCATGAACGGGGGAGGGACAGAGAGAGAGGGAGACACAGAATCGGAAACAGGCTCCAGGCTCTGAGCCATCAGCCCAGAGCTTGAAGCGGGGCTCGAACTCACGGACCGCGAGATCGTGACCTGGCTGAAGTCGGACGCTTAACCGACTGTGCCACCCAGGCGCCCCAGCAAAGTAGGTTCTAAGAAATAAATGGAATTTGGTTCTTCTAGTATTTCATGTCCAGCTTTGATATGTAATGCCTAAAGTCAAATAAACATTAGTGGGTGGTTAACATTTGTGTTTATCACACTGTGCTTGTAAACATAAACATTTCAAAATGCTTCTTGATTTCTTGAATGCTTACGTTGTGTTGTCTTCCCAGGACGACTTTTCGCCCACAAGCAAGCTCCAGCGTTTGCTGGCAGAGTCTCGGCAGATGGTTACGGACCTGGAGTTGAGTACCCTGCTCCCCATCAGCTCTGAGAGTTTCAGCAGCAGTGCCAATAATGTATGTGGTTACTTTTCCTTTGACCCCCTCTGTGTACCCGAATACTCCACTGAGTACTCTCGCGCAGATGTCACTGGTTGGGCATCCCTTTCTGCTAGAAGGAAAGTTCCTGTATGTCTCTGAGACAGAGAGGTAGCACACTGGCTTCGAGGACGAGGGAAAAATCACACAAAAAAGTCACTGTGCCCCAACTTCCTCTTTCTAATTACCTGGGCGTATGAATATAAATTCTTGGGATATAAGGTTACATATTTTACTATAGAAAACTTCAAATACAGAAGTAGGAAGAATATTAAAATCACAGACCTTCAACGTTCTGCCATTTTTGTTTTATCTTCCCCTATCCGTACATGTTTTCTTAGCATTTTGAAGCAAATCCTAGACATCATATCACTTCACTCATAAAAACTTCATTATGTGGGGTACCTGGGTGGCTCAGTCAGTTAAGCGTCTGACTTCGGCTCAGGTCATGATCACGGTTCATGAGTCCGAGCCCCGCATTGGGCTCTCTGCCGTCAGCGCAGAGCCTGCTTCGGATCCTTTGTCTACCTCTCTCTCTGCCCCTACCCCACTCACACTCTCCCTCTATCTCAAAAGTAAATGAACATTAAAAACAACAACAACAAGAGAAAACAAACAAAAATAATAACTCAGGGACACCTGGGTGGCTCAGTAGGTTAGGCATCCAACTTCAGCTCAGGTCATGATCTCACAGTTTGTGGGTTCAAGTCCTGCATCAGGCTCTGTCCTGACAGCTCAGAGCCTGGAGCCTTCTTTGGATTCTGTGTCTCCCTCTTTCTCTGGCCCTCTCCCGCTGTATCTTTCTCTCTCTTTCAAAAATAAACATTAAAAAATTTTTTAAAAACTGTATTATGTATCCTTCACAGATAAGCATTTAAAAAAATAGTTTTAAAAAAAAAATTTTTTTTTTCAACGTTTTATTTATTTTTGGGACAGAGAGAGACAGAGCATGAACGGGGGAGGGGCAAAGAGAGAGGGAGACACAGAATTGGAAACAGGCTCCAGGCTCTGAGCCATCAGCCCAGAGCCTGACGCAGGGCTCGAACTCACGGACCGCGAGATCGTGACCTGGCTGAAGTCGGACGCTTAACCGACTGCGCCACCCAGGCGCCCCTAAAAAAACTGGTTTTAACACTGTCATACCCAGCCAAGTTAACAATAACTTGTTAATATCAACCTAATGACTAGACCATGTTAAGTTTTCCCCATTAATCTAAAAAATGCCTTTTTACTCTTTATTTAAATCAACCAAGGTCCATACTTGGCATTTGGATATGTCCTTTAAAGTCTGTCTTGGGGGCGCCTGGGTGGCTCAGTCAGTTGAGCGTCCGACTTCGCTCAGGTCACGATCTCACGGTCCGTGAGTTCGAGCCCCGCATCGGGCTCTGTGCCGACAGCTCAGAGCCTGGAGCCTGCTTCAGATTCTGTGTCTCCCTCTCTCTCTGGCCCTCCCCCCATTCATGCTCTGTCTCTCTCTGTCTCAAAAATAAATAAATGTTAAAAAAAAAAAATTTTTAAGTCTGTCTTGGGGCGCCTGGGTGGCTCAGTCAGTTAGGAGTCCGACTTCAGCCCAGGTCACGATCTCGCGGTCCATGAGTTCAAGCCCCGCGTCGGGCTCTGGGCTGATGGCTCAGAACCTGGAGCCTGCTTCCGATTCTGTATCTCCCTCTCTCTCTGCCCCTCCCCCGTTCATGCTCTGTCTCAAAAATAAATAAACATTAAAAAAAAAAAAGATTTAAAAAAAAAAAGTCTGTCTTAAGGGGCATCTGTCTGGTTCAGTCAAAAGAGCACACTACTCCTGATCTCAGGCTCATGAGTTCGAGCCCCACATTGGGTGTAGAGTTTACTAAATAAATAAATAAATAAATAGAAATAAAGTCTCAATCACTGGCAGGTCCTTCACCATCTTCCTTCCTCCTTTTTCTTCTTCCTCTTTCTTCTTCTTCTCCCTTTTTTTTTTTTTTTCTTTCTTGCCATTTAGTTGTGGAAGAAACACTGGGTGATTTGTCCTGTAGAATTTCCCACGTTCTGGATCTTGCTAATTGTCCTCATTGTTATTTAACACATTCCTGTGTCCTCCATGATTCCTAAGAACTGGTATTTAGATCTAGTGACTTGGTTAGACTTGGGATCAATTTGGTGTTTTCCTTTTGGCATCACTGCCTCACTGGCGATGCTGTCTCTGCCTATCCATCACATCAGGAGGACCCGGATCTCTGGTTGTGCCACCTGTGGATGTAAAGGTTCATTGGAAGTTCAAGAGTTGGTCAGCCCGGGCTTTTATATTTATAAAGTTCACTTAATGATTTTAGCATTCTTTGATTACTGTTACTTAGAGCTATTATTTCACTAGCAATTACAACATACTCATTCTAAATCTGTCATTCTTTTGGGGGAGTGTTTTACATGTTAATTTTAACTGCTTTTTCTGAGCCCAGTAACATTTCAGTAGCAATGATGTAAGTTGCTTTGTGGATTTTATAGCCTTAATATAAATAGTGAAAAGAGCATTGAACTTGAAATCGGGATACTGGGGTTCCAGTTTCCTAATCTCTAAAATAAGAGCTTAGAACTGAGGCTTTAAATTTAAGATTCCAGGTACATTACTTGGGTGTGCTGTGTGCATAAAGATATATGAAAGCCACAGAGTTAAACTTCTTTGTGTCCCTGACCAAAAAACTAAAATAAAAAAAGGTCTGTACGAACACTGAAATACTTCTTTTAAAATCGGCTTTGTACGAGGTAAAAGATCTATACGCTGAAAACCATAGAAAGATTATGAAAGAAACTGAAGAAGACACAAAGAAATGGAAAAACATTCCATGCTTATGGATTGGAAGAACAAAGATTGTTAAAATGTTGATACTACCCTAAGCATCTACACATCCAACGTAATCCCTATCAAAATGATACCAGCATTCTTCACAGAGTTAGAACAAACAATCCTAAAATTTGTATGGCACCACAAATGACCCTGAATAGCTAAAGTAATGTTGGAAAAGAAAACCAAAGCTGGAGGCATCACAATTCTGGACTTCAAGATGTATTACAAAGCTGTACTCATCAAGACACTATGGTACTGGCACAAAAACAGACAAGTAGATCAATGGAAAAGAATAGAGAACCCAGAAATGGACCCATAAATATATGGCCAACTAGGCTTCGACAAAGCAGGAAAGAGTATCTAATGGAAGAAAGACAGTCTCTTTAGCAAATGGTGCTGGGAGAACTGGACAGCAACATGCAGAAGAATGAAACTGGCACCAAGAACCATAAAATATCTAGGAATAAACCTAACCAAAGAGGCGAAAAATCTACACACTGAAAACCATAGAAAGCTTATGAAAGAAATTAAAGAAGACACACAAAAAATGGAAAAATATTCCATGCTCATGGATTGGAAGAACTTATATTGTTAAAATGTCAATACTGCCCAAAGCAATCTACATATTCAACACAATCCCTATCAAAATAACATCGGCATTCTTCACAGAGCTAGAACAAACAATCCTAAAACTTGTATGGAACCAGAAAAGACTCCGAATAACCAAAGAAATCTTGAAAAAGATAACTGAAGCTGGAGGCATCACAATCCTGGACTTCAAGCTATACTACAAAGCTGTCATCATCAAGACAGTATGGTACTGGTGCAAAAACACTCAGATCAATGGAACAGAATAGAGAACCCAGAAATGGACCTACAAATGTATGGCCAACTAATCTTTGACAAAGCAGGAAAGACTATCCAACAGAATAAAGACAGTCTCTTTAGCAAGTGGTGCTGGGAAAACTGGGCAGCGACATGCAGAAGAATGAACCTGAACCACTTTCTTACACCATACACAAAAATAAACTCAAAATGGATGAAATACTTAAATGTAGACAGGAAACCATCAAAATCTTATAGGAGAAAATAGGCAGCAACCTCTTTGATTTAGGCCACAGCAACTTCTTACTTGACATGTCTCCAGAGGCAAGAGAAATAAAAACAAAAATGGCCTCACTTCTGCACAGCAAAGGAAACCATCAACAAAACTAAAAGGCAACTGACAGAGGGGCAGCTGGGTGGCTCGGTTGGTTAAGTTTCTGACTTCCGCTGAGGTCATGATCTTGTGGTTTGTGAGTTTGACCCCTGCATCCGGCTCTTTGCTGTAAGCACAGAGCCTGCTTTGGATCCCTCCCCTGCCCTGTCCTTCTTTTCTCTTTCAAAAATAAATAAACATTAAAAAAAAAAATAGGCAACCGATGGAATGGGAGAAGATATTTGCAAATGACATAATGGATAAGGGTTAGTATCCAAAATCTATAAAGAACCCACCAAACTCAATACCCCAAAAACAAATAATCCAGTGAAGAAATGGGCAGAAGACATGAATAGACACTTTTCCAAAGAAGACATCCGGATGGCTAACAGACACATGAAAAGATGCTCAACGTCACTCATCATCATGGAAATACAAATCAAAACTACAATGACATACATCCTCACACCTGTCAGAGTGGCTAAAATTAACAATTCAGGAAACAACAGATGTTGGTGAGGAACCTTTTGCACTGTTGGTGGGAATGCAAACTGGTGCAGCCACTCTGGAAAACAGTATGAAGGTTCCTCAGAAAATTAAAAATAGAACTACCATACAACTCAGCAACTGCACTACTAGGATTTTATCCAAAGTATACAAAAGTATATAAAAATGCTGATTTGAAGGGGCACATGCACCCCAATGTTTATAGCAGCGCTATCAACAATAGCCAAATTATTTATGGAAAGAGCCCAAATATCCATTGACTGATGAATGGGTAAAGAAGATGTGGTATGTATACACACACGCGCGCGCGCGCGTGTACACAAGCGCATGATGGAACATTACTTGGCAATGAAAAAGAATGAAATCCTGCCATTTACAACAATGTGGATGGAAATGGAGGGTATTATGCCAAGTGAAATAAGTCAGAAAAAGACATATCATATGATTTTG